TAGAGAAGAGGTGAGACGTAGCCTTTGGCAGGATCTTCGTCGGATTGCTGATTCTATGAATGAGCCCTGGCTTATCACCGGTGATTTTAATGAAATCGCTTCCCCTTTTGAGAAACGTGGAGGTGCCCCGGTAGATTTATATAAATGTAACAGGTTTGCTTCCTTGCTTACGGATCTGAAGATGATTGATTTGAATAGTTCTGGTTCGAGATTTACTTGGCGTGGTCCTCGTTTCCTGAATATGGATAGAGTTTTCAAACGGTTAGATCGTGCTTGCAGTAACGATTTATGGAGGGTTACATTTGAGGAGGGTCATGTTAGAGCCCTTCCTAGGTTAAACAGTGACCATAACCCCCTTCTTATATCCTTGTCTTCTTCAAAAGATGAGTGGAAGGATCGTCCTTTCCGTTTCCATTCCTTTTGGCAGGACCATATCCTGTTCAATCAATTTTTAAAGGACAATTGGCACGTGCATGGGAACATTGCTGATTGTTTGAAGGTTCTTACCCCTTGCATTAAGGAATGGAATGAGAAGGTGATTGGGAATATTAAGCATAGGAAGAATAAGTTGATGAGAAGACTTGAAGGTATTCAAAGAGCCATTTCTGAGCACAATAAAGATTATCTGGAGAAAGTGGAGTGCAAGATCAAAGCTGAACTTGAGGAGGTCCTTGATCAAGAGGAGTTATTATGGTATGAAAAGTCTCGAACTCAGTGGATTAATCAAGGTGACAGAAACACGAGATACTATCATACAAAGACTATTGTCAGAAGGAAAAGAGGTAGAATCGTGGAACTCAAATATGATAATGGAAGTTGGATTTGTGAAGAGGAAGGCCTGGTTAAGATGATCCGCGATTTTTATATTAATCTTTTCAAAGATGAAAGCTGTCATCGTGAGTGGATCAATACTCGATGGCCTATTGTTCCTGAGGAAGTCATGGATAAATTAAGGGTGAGTGTTACTAAGGAGGAAGTTAAAAAAGCTTTTTTCACAATGAAAGGCTCAAAAGCCCCAGGGGAGGATGGGTACATAGCTGCTTTTTATCAAAAGAACTGGAATCTGGTAGGTGATCAAGTCTGGAATGCTTTCCTAGCTTATTTGGAAAACCCGCAAACCATTGCTGATATTAATGGTACGATTATTACCCTTATCCCAAAGGTTAATAAGCCTACGTTGGTTTCTCAATTCAGGTCAATTTCCTTGTGCAATGTGATTTACAAAGGCATGAGTAAAGTTATAGTGGGTAGACTGAAGGAAGTAATAGAAGCTTTGGTTTCTGATAACCAAACCAGCTTTGTCCCAAACAGAAACTTGCAGAATAACATTATTGCAGCTAAAGAGATTGCCCATTCGATGACAAAGTTTAAAGGTAAGATGGGTACTGTGGCCATTAAAATTGATTTAGAGAAAGCCTATGATAAGCTGAATTGGTCGTTTATTCGTAAGGTTATCTCTGAAATACAGCTTCCGTCTTGGATGGTTGAATTCATTATGGCGTCTATCACAACTAATAGTTTCAAAGTGCTTGTGAATGGGGGCTTGTCTGAAACTATTATTCCTGAACGTGGAATTCGACAGGGTGATCCATTATCCCCATACATCTTTGTCTTATGTGTTGAAAAGCTATCTCATCTTATTGCTCAAAGGGTTGGCAGTGGTGTGTGGAAACCGATCAGAGTGTGTAGAGGTGGTCCAGCAGTCTCCCATCTCATGTTTGCAGATGATATTGTCCTTTTCTCTGAAGCTTCGGTGCAGCAAATGCAGGTAATAATGGAGTGTTTAGATCTTTTTTGCAGAATGTCTGGTCAAAGTATAAGTGTTCATAAGTCTACCATTTATTTCTCTTCCAATACATCTGATGCAACTGCAAATGCAATTTCTGCGCTCTCTGGGTTCAAAAGAGTCAGTAGCATTGGTAAATATCTGGGCTCTTTTATCAGGCAAGGGCGAAATTTGAAATCAAATTATGCTGATCTAATAGATCGGGTTCGTAAGAAACTTGATGGATGGAAGCATCAAAGTTTATCTTTTGCGGGGAGAGTCACTCTGGCTAAATCAGTGATTGGTGTTATTCCCTCTTTTCATATGCAGAATGGTCTTCTTCCCACTTCTGTGTATGATGAGATTGAACAGCTTCAACGGAACTTCATTTGGGGTATTAATAAAGCTCATTTAGTGGCTGGGGACACAATGTATAAGCCGAAGGAAATGGGAGGTCTTGGTATTATCAGATTGCGTACTCAAAATGAGGCTTATATTCATAAGTTGGCTTGGAAAATCTTAACTGACAAGGAGGAACTTTGGGTTAAGATTTTGAGAGCCAAGTATGGCAGAGGTAAAGATTTGAGGCGTGAGATAAGCTCTAAGCCTTATGATTCTAAACTTTGGCGGGACCTTTCTAAATGTTGGAACAGTTTTTTAGCCGGTCTTCGATGGGAGGTGGGTGATGGAGAGACTATTAAATTCTGGGCGGATAATTGGTTGAATCTGGATGATAATCTTTGTAATTTAGCTCCTAATCACATTCCTGATCTGGAATTGCATAGAACCATTGCTGAGATCTTTCAGCATGGTACCTGGGATGTTCGATATTTGAAGCAATTCTTAAATGATGAGCTAATCTCTAAGGTATTTTGTGTTCCTGTTGCTTTGGAAGATAATACTGAGGATAAGTTAGTTTGGTGTCAGAATCATGTGTCCTTTTCCTTAGTTAAGGTTGCCTACTTGAACTTGATGAATTTTCAACATGCTCAAAGGAATGTTCCCTGGAAGAAGATTTGGGACTGGAAGGGTCCAGAAAGAATCAAGACTATGATGTGGCTGGCTTTTCTTAATAAGCTTCCAGTTAGGAGTCGTACATGCAAATGGAATGGGGGTCCTAATTTTTGCATTAACTGTCCAAACAGTGAAGAAACTCTTATTCATGTCCTTAGAGATTGTTCTCAAGCCAAAAGATTGTGGATAGATTGGTTTGGTAGAAGGGTCCCCAATGACTTCTTCACATTAGACCTACAGCCTTGGCTCATCAAAAATGTGAGTAAGGGTTGGAATTATCAAATTCATGTTGATTGGAGAGATGTTTTCTATACTACTTGCTGGAATCTTTGGAATTGGCGTAATCATCATATTCATGATGATAGTTTCCGAAGGCCAAGCAATGATAAGCGTGTCATTTCTGATTTTATTGCGCATTTAATTGAAGCTAGAGGTAAGAATAGAAGCATTCTTGGCAGCTTCCCTAATGCCCATCAGCCTACTAAATGGTGTCGTCCTGAACCTGGTCGGTTGAAGAATAACACAGATGGTGCTTCTTCCTTATCTAGGCAGCATGCTAGCTGTGGAGGCCTTGCTAGAGATCACAATGGTGCTTTTCTGGGTGGTTTCTCTTTCAGATTAGGTTTCTGTAATCCTCTTGATGCAGAACTCTGGGGTATCCTCAAAGGCTTAGAGCTGGCCTAGGGTACTGGTGCTAGGAGAGTGGAGTTGGAATGTGACTCAGAAATTGCTCTTAGCACTATCCAAGAAGGGAGCAATAATCACAGAAACTCTCAGGTTGTTTCCCGTATTCACAAATGGCTTGCTGAAGATTGGGATGTTCGTTGGGTCCACACTTTTCGAGAAAATAACAGATGTGCTCACTGGTTTGCTTCTAGGCATTTTGAGGATGATAATAATCTTATTGTTTATCATTCTCCTCCTTCTCCTTTGTTAGAGCTCCTTCTTCAGGATGCTTCTGTAGATCTTTTAAGTTCTCGCGTCGTGTAATTTTTGTTTTGTTTGGGGCTTTTGCCCCTCTTTAGTACAAAAAAAAAAAAAAAAAAAAAAAAAAAGAGGAGAGAATTTATTGATAGAAATGATGCAATACAAAGAAGATATAATATAAGAGCTAAAGCGTCTTAGCCAAGTAGTATTCCTTCTAGTCTTGCCTAGTATGACAACAATATTGACTTCCCATATATACCATGACCAGCGCTATTGCCCTTCTTAAATAAGAACTGGCAAAATCAGAAAATCAACATCCTAGTAACTAGCTCCTAAAATTAAGGAAAGCAAAACTAACTTTTTATCCTAATCAGAAATACTTTCAAAACAAAAGCAAAACATCCTAATCCTAATCTTAATCTTCTAAACAGAACAAGGTACATACTGATGGCACCAAGAGCATTAAAAAGAAAATTGCACACTTGTATTATTCACAAACTAAGGGAAACAGTCCTCTTTTGCTTTACAGTATACTCAATATAACAGTATCAACCACCAGAAAATTGACTCAATAACACTAACACACTAATAGAGTTATTGCTCCCTTTAGTTTTGTTCTTGGAATTGCATACTAAAACGAAAATGCATTAAACCAAGAACAATAGGACTAAAGGGAATTGACTCAATAACAGTATTATTCACCAAAAAAAAAGGGAGCAACAACTTTATTAGATACTCAATATAACAGTATCAACGGGGGCTATTGTTCTTGGTTTAATGGTGAAAATTGATTCAATTACACTAACACTAACATATTAGATACTCAATAGGGTAATCTAATCCTATCAGCATTATTCTTGGAAACCGTTATTGCTCCTGCCATGGCATCCTAAAGTAGTATCTGACTCAATTGATCCATCAGTATGTATCATCTCTAGAAAAAATTGAGCGTTGCAATCCTCTCCCTTGTTCTAGGAAAGAGGTCGTACATGTAGTTTTCATTTCACTAACACTTAAGCCTAAACCAAAGTTAATAGTAAAACCATTCCCCATTAAACCCCGACTAGTGAGATTGGAGCGAGGATAATCCTTGTATGCAGTCTTATCTTTATTTCCCGAATTTGAACCCGTGACCTTTCGGTCACGAAGGAACAATTTTCCAAAGGATCTGTGTACATGTACTTGCACAAGTCTAAAGAACAAGAACCATTAATGTCCATAATATAACTATATATACATGTTATAACTTTTTAAACAAAATGTAAAAATCTTTATCAAATTGGAGATTACATACTATATTACCCCCAATGACATGAATATCAGTGTAATCTCGAGTCTTTGTATAGTACTTCAGATCAGCCTCGTTGCAGAAAGCAGTCTTGATAGATAGATCTAACTTTTCAACCAAATAGGTTTTCCCCTGGCACATGTACACAGCACCTTCATATACCTGAATCAAGTAAACATGAATATACTTTATGAGGTAGTGAGAACAAGCAGAAGACAAATTACCCTTTCATGGGGAAAGGTAGGAAAGTCCTTTTTCCAGATATATCAGTAAGTATAAGTCACTACCTGAAAGAAAGCCTTGCTTTCCTCTATTTCTTCAAGGACTTTCTTTCTTTTCTGATCTATGACACTGTATCTTACACTTTCTATTGCTCGGATATTGACCACATGGGAAGGTAATTTCTGGAACAGAGAAGGTACCATGAAAAAACAAGAAAAATTAGTAATCTTACAATCTCCAAATATTTCATAGAGCTCAATAATGAAGAAGACAACTAGAAAAGAAAGACATGGAAACCTAATTTGTTCAAAAATCTCATATACCTCAGGACCAATGTAGTTCCATATTCTAGAAGAAGAATCAGATGAGATATCAGAACACAAGTATCCTCTAGCTTTTAGAGAAATTAAAACACTCTCTAAGCAAGAACCAAAATACTGCTCATCATACTGCACACTCAGAGGGTGTTCATGAGCTGCACAGACCAAATGTTGCGCAAGAACCTGAACAAAGCATGTCATAATAAGCATAAACCCCTCCATTTGTTAAAACTTGATACAAATAATCTTAGAAAAAAATTAATCTAAAGTTAAGAACCTGCTTGTTTTGGGAATCAACGTGACAGCATTCAATCGATTGTTCAAAAAGTTTCCTGGGATGTTTCATGAAGTATTGATCAAGAGGCCCACCAAATGCAACATAGACCGCAAGAGATGGTCTATCTCTCCTTCCACCCCTACCAGCTTGTTGCCACAAACTAGAAGTATAAAAGATTTGAAGCAGAATGAAAAGGAAATTAGATAATTGCACACAAAAGTAGCTATTAAAAAGCTTTAATTTGATATGAATATCAAAGCAACTGGGTAAATACCTTGCTATACTACCAGGAAATCCAAGATGCAGAGTGACATCAATTTCTCCAACATCAATACCCAGCTCAAGAGCATTAGTTGCAGCAACACCACAAATTTGACCGCCAAAAAATGCACTCTCTATTTTTCTTCTTTCCTGTCAATGTGAAGCAGCAGCCAATATTAAGTCTCAGGTGATCGGCCTGTTAATCAAACAAAACAAAAGAATGAACACTACAAATGGATTGAAATAAGAAATAGTCAACCAGAATTTAATTTACATGGAAGGTTGATTTTGCTTCCAAGCTTCAATAACACAAAAAAAAAAGATTGAACTAAGGGTAAACATAGAATCCAATCAATAATGCCAAGTTCCACATTAAGAACATTAAAATAAATGGTATATTCCACATAAGAAAGATTACAATAATATGCAGATAGAGTAGAAGGTATAACTCCCAACTCAATAACAACAATTATGTTTACATAGATCAACCGACGTCGTTGGGCTCTATCAAAAACAAAATTTTCAGTGAAACCATTTATAGGAAGCTCTTTTTAATGGTTTCTCTTAAAGTTTTCGTAGGTCCGTCCATCTTCCTGCATTTCTTTCAAAAGTTTTTTTTTTCCATTTTATACACTTTTGTCATTTGAGCTTATAAGTTATCATTTCATACGACCAAACCACCTTAGCAAAGTTTTTGTCATCTCCTCCTCAAGAGGTATTACTCCAACTTTGTCTCAAAAACTTGTTCCCAATCCTATATTTTTCTGTATGTCCATTTCATCATTCTAATCTCCACTACATTCATGCTTTGATCTAGTTGGCACTTTGTTGCCCAACATTCATTACTATGGTAGGATTTTCTTGAGTTTGATCGGCATGTTAGGAACACAAGTTATGAACTAAACAATTTCTCCATTTCATCCATCTAGTTTGAGTCCTGAGGGCAAGCCTCGGGGCAGCAGTAAGGACCAGAAAGTTATAGGTTTAAATCTGGAAAACAACCTCTTTGCAAAAAAAATGCAAGGGTGGGGTTGCGTAAAATCGACCCTTACCCCTACTCTCACAAAGTCAAGAAGCCTTGTACACTGGAGCTTTTCCTTTTGCCCTTCATCCATCTAGTTGGAATCATGTGATACATCCTTGTCAATCTCCCCATCACTTTTTAAAATGAATCCGAAAAACATAAACCTTGCAACTTGTGGTATGACACAATAACATTTTCGCTTATTAGTGAAGTGTATAGCTTTTCAACCATGCTCTGGGGCTGTTTTAGGCCATAAAGAGATTTATTTAACTTACAATCAAGCCTTTTATTTGAATCTTCAAAACCAGGGGGTTGGACCATATACACCTCCTCCTCCAAGTCCCCGTTACGAAAAGCATTGTTATCGTCCAATTGTCTTAGAACCCAGCCATTAGTGAGAGCTAGTGTAAGCATTATCTGAATGATAACTGGTCGTACAACAAGGCTAAATGTTTTGTTGTAGTCAAAGCCTAGCTGTTGGTGAACCCTTAGCAGCCAGTCGAATTTGTTAATGGTGCCATTTGGTTTCTCTTTGACCCTAAACACTCATTTTAACCCTATAGCTTTCGTGTTAGGAGGCAAATCAACAAGAGTCCAAGTATGGTTAGTCAACAAATCATTAAATTCGGGTTTCATTGCCTCAAGCCAAGGAGGACTAGCTAATGCTTGTTTACCAATTTAGCATATGCAATCAATTCATGCATGATCTAAGGGGAGATGCTTACATGCCATAGACAGAATTCTCCATTATCTTAAAGCTATGCCAAGGAGATGATATCTATTCCAAAAAGATGAAAAACTTTCCATAGAAGTGTATATTGATGTTGATTATGCAGAATCCATTACTGACTGAAGATCAACCTCAGGCTATTCTTTGTTTCTTTATGGGGATTTAGTAACATGGATCAGTAAAAAACAAAATGTGCTAGCTCGGTCAAGCATAAAGGCAGAATTTAGAACTACGGCTCAAGGTGTTTGTAAACTTCTATGGCTGAAAATTATACTAGACGCCTTGAAAGTGAAATATGAAGAACCTATGGAGTTGTTATGTTATAATAAATATGTCATTTGTATAGCTTATAATCTAGTTCACATGATAAAAGAAAACATATTGAGATCACAACCACCACATCAAGGAGAAATTAGATAGCAGGTTGATTTATGCATCATACATCCCTTCAAGACTTAAATTAGCTTGTGTTGACTGTAAGGAACCTTGGGATACACCACTCCGAAAGCTAGCTCAAGGGGTGGGAGTGCCCAAGGCCTTATAAACTTCATATTAGTTGCTCATTCAACCAATGTGGGACTATATATCTCAACACGCCCCCTCACACGAGAGCCCATTGGGTTTGAAGAGTGGAAGATGCAATAGACCCAGCCTACCTGTGCTAAGAAAGTCCACAAGAGAAAGTGGGGGGCGGCGAGGCTCTGATACCATATAAGGAACCTTGGGATACACCACTCCGAAAGCTAGCTCAAGGGGTGGGAGTGCCCAAGGCCTTATAAACTCCATATTAGTTGCTCATTCAACCAATGTGGGACTATATATCTCAACATTGACTAAGGGACTTAAGACTTCAATTAGCTTAAGTGTTGACTAAGGGATTTCCCACCGAGAGATTTCAAGACAACACTAGCAAGCATGTTAAATATTCATTCATCAAATTGAGAGTGCTAATAAATACAAAACTACCGTGTGTAATAAGGCCGAAGGTGGTTGAGCCACCACCATTAACTCTTGATTTTTTTACTAACATTAGTCTAAATATTGTAAACATTTATAAATGAATGAGAAAAGAGAAAATATTCAGATTCAGATTTCTAAGTATCATCTATTTATAAACGTAAAGAAGTGAGTACAGCACAGAAGATCACAATAACAACTTCTTAAGAACAGCAACAATATATCTGATGCCGAAAGCGCATAGAAAAGTGGCTAAACAGAAAGTTAGGATTTCATAAGAGAGTAACCCTCCGGTTCTCAATTTCTAATTATCAAATAACAAAATTTTCAGATTCAGATTTCTAAGTATCATCTATTTATTCTAAGAGTTGAATTTTGTTATTTGATAATTAGAAATTGAGAACCGAAGGGTTACTCTTTTGTGAAATCCTTACTTTCTGTTTAGCCACTTTTCTATGCGCTTTCGGCATCATTAATGATGCACCCGAGCTGACTCGCTTGGATTGGACTTTTTCATTATTTATTTCTTTCTTTAGGGAATTTTAATAATTGCTAATTATTTCCTTTTTGTTATTTTAGATTATGTTTGAGTGTGCGTTAATTGTGCGTTATCTCCTTTGATTGCGCATGATTATAGTTATTTACTTTTTTTGTTATTTTATTTTTGCCTATTTAAGGCTTGGAGAACCCTATTGTTATTAAGTTGTTTTTGGTTAAAGAAAATTAAGAAAAGAAAAATAGCGTTTTCTCGCAATCCTTGTGTTCGTTCTTATTTCTGTTTAGCCAATTGGTTACTGCTTCGGCATTATTTGGTAATCAGAGCTCTGGTTGTCACATAAATGGCTGAACAGAACAATGGCGGTCGAGGTCGAGGTCGTGGACGACGGGGTCGAGGCGACGGCGGCGGTAGAGGGCATGTTAACACCCTTAACGACGACGGCGAACAACCACACATTGACATACGACACACCATAATTGTAGCAATGGCTGCTACATTGGCAGAACATGGTAGGCGAATTCAGGAGCTCGAACAACTATTTGCCCAAACACAGTTGGACGAGTCAGATGAAGGAAGGGAATCTGAAAGATCATCTCATGAGGAGGAAAGGAGCAAAAACTCATTCTGGAATTGGAATGAGGAGCGACGAGGACGAAGTCAACCTCGAAATCAATCCTTTTTGCTAATATTGGGGTGAAGATTGAGATCCCGGAATTCGAGGGCACCACTCATACAGATGAGTTTATCGACGGGTCACACCGTCGAAAAGGTCTTTGACATCATAGACTTGACAAAAGACCAGAAGGTCCCGATCTATGATGAATATGATGACGAGCAAGATGATGAGAATCCTATTATGGATGCTCCAATTTATGACGAGTTCCCTATCTATGATAAGTATGATTGGGAGCAAGACGACGAGAATCCAGAGGTGGAAGAAATCTCTCGTAGTGATTCCGATGGGAAGTCAGTTATTAGAAATTCTAATATCTCTTACAAAGATAAAGTTCTACCCATAGATATCATGCAGAATGATCCTGCATCCAAGAAGTCTTTAGTTTGCAAGCAGTATTATGAATTTGGGGACAACGAGCATAACAACCTTATGCTCCATGGAGATAAAGATTTAGCTTTTGGTAAAAGCTTAATTGGAGATCGTCAAGGGCAATGGGACTTGCTGGTACATCAGACAAAGTTTTCCTACGACGGATCACAGATGCGATCATTGATCCAAACTACAAATGAATATACCAAAAATATCAAAGAATTGCATTTTCAAGTCCTAATCTTAATTAGGAAATTTGGTGATATTGTACCAGAAGAGTTACCACCTGAAGAAGTTCATATCAATGAAGACGAAGCAGATTCGAGGGCGAATCTTTTTCAAGTGGAAGAGAATGATGCACCCGAGCTGACTCGCTTGGATTGGACTTTTTCATTATTTATTTCTTTCTTTAGAGAATTTTAATAATTGCTAGTTATTTCCTTTTTGTTATTTTAGATTATGTTTGAGTGTGCGTTGATTGTGCGTTATCTCCTTTGATTGCGCATGATTATAGTTATTTACTTTTTTTGTTATTTTATTTTTGCCTATTTAAGGCTTGGAGAACCCTATTGTTATTAAGTTGTTTTTGGTTAAAGAAAATTAAGAAAAGAGAAATAGTGTTTTCTCACAATCCTTGTATTTGTTCTTATTTCTGTTTAGCCAATAGCTTACTGCTTCGGCATTAATATCCTAGGTCCTGGAGCCCATGAAAGTTCTATATGTTGTATTTTTTGTTGGATAGCTAAAGAATATTTTTAAAGATCATTCATGCCAAGTCCCTAACAGTTTATGTTCACAATTCACATTATATATTGTAAATAATCAATTCAACCCAAAAACTTAAGCTATTAGGTGAGGGCCTTTTTAATGGTTTATATTAAACTCTAACACGCCCCCTCACAAAAGAGCTCATTGGGCTTGAAAGGTGGATGACGCATCAGGCCCAACCTACCTGTGCTAAGAAATTTCACAAGGAAAATGGGAGAGGGGGGTGAGGATCGAACCCGGGACACCGAGGCTCTGATACCATGTAAAGAACCGATTCAACCCAAAAGCTTAAGCTATTAGGTGAGGACCTCTTTAATGGTTTTTTTTTTTTATATATATATATGTTTCTATTTATCCTAGCTTACCATGAGATAAGTAATAAAGCCAGGTATAATCTATTAAATGAAATATATAAATATTGGCAATGATAAAGGTAAGGAAAAAGACCAAATATGAAAATCACATAAAGTAAGGAGTTTACTAGTGATTAAATCATAGTCTAATTTGTTCCTAGTGCGCAATAGCATTTTACTTCAGCAATTTGCAGTCCTCAAGTGTATCAGTTACATGAACAAGGTATTACATTACACATGACAATGCTTATAAACAAGAAGATAACTTACATGCGCAGACACAAATTAAATTTCTATTTTAAAACCAGAGAAAAAGAAGTAAAATTGACCTCTGCAATGTAGCCTCCACGATATGCACATATAGAATCCACCAGATGGGGGGCTGTCTCATGAAGAATCTCGCGTCTATTTTATTTACAGCGATTCAATTGCATGAGCATCTTCCATTTTTAACAACTAAATAGCAATAAACTTGAATTCCAAAATGGATCAAAACCAGAATCTAGGAAAAACAAACAATCCTATCACAATATTGATTCTACTGAACTACACAAGTACATGAAATTGATTTGACATACGTATATGATAAAACAAGCTCACAAAGTTTCCGTGATTTACAAAATGTGATGCAACGAAGACGATGCTGAACCATTTCTGCAAAAAGGCGAGAAACATCCACAATTGGGCTGCAAATTTAACATGGCACAAGACATTTAAAATAAAATACTTAAAAATACTACAAACCCTAGATAAATGTGCACAATTCTTTAAAAAAAAAAAAAGGGAAAACTTCCAAAAAACCCCTGAGTTTTCTTAATTATCACTTACCCCCCTCACAAAATTTTTGAATCATTTACACCCTTATTTAGATTTTTTTTTATCGCTTACTCCCCTGACTTAAATTTTTTTTATCACTTAGGGGGGTAAATGATAAAAAAACTTTAAGTCAAGGGGGTAAATGATTCAAAATTTTGGGAAGAGGATAAATGATTATAAATAAAGTTACAGGGGGCTTTTTGAAGTTTTCCCAAAAAAAAAATCATTATTCACCACTCTTCATTTCTACACAACATGTTAAGTTGATATAATGGTATGCACTAACTCTAATTGTTAGAAATAATATTGTATTCAATAGTATTGTATTTTTATTATTCTGTTATTCTAGCAGGTTATTTGGACTTGGCTCATTAGGTCTTTTAACCTCTTTAAATAGAGGACTTTTGTATAGTTTAATATATAATTGAATACAATACATTCATACATTATAATTTGGTACCAGAGCCCTTTGTTCTGGGAACTATCGCTTCCGCTAAAACCCTAAGCCCACTGCTTAGGCATTCTCTCCTTCCTTTACGCCGTGCGTCCCTCCGGCTTGTTTCTACATTGTTCACGCGGGTGTACTGTTCATTGATGTTACTATTCGCGCGACACTGTTCATCGTGTCCATACAGACACTGTTTACCGCTGCCCCGTACAGACACTGTTCATCGCCTCAGTACAGACAATGTTCACGTCGTCCGTACAATCACTGTTCACACGTCCGTATTGTCACTGTTCACGCGTATTTTTCCGGCCATTCCAAGATAGATCAGCTCGCCTTCCTCTCCTCTTTCCAGATCTGGTCTCCGTTCGTTGTGGGTCCCATCCGTTAAGAAGATATCGGCGAAAAACACATTGTTTGGACATCTTTTTTAATTATTTTTGTGCGATTTCTTGTGAGTTTGTTGTTTCTTGTTTTTATCTGGTCATCTCTTTTATTTTTGTGATGGAGGGCTCAAGTAATGCGTCCAAAAACACTACTGGCGTCATCTCCAGTACTACCCCATTCATTACAATGATGAAACTGACCGGATCTTCTACTTACAAGACCTGGTCTACCTCAGTTAAGATCTGGTTTACGGGTCAGTGGTACGGAAAACATCTCACAACTAAGTCTGCCGATATTTCAAAGGATCAGACATCTGAATGGGAAAAGGATGATGCTCAACTGCTAAGTATCCTTTGGCAGTCCATTGATCCGACAATTATAGATATTTTCATCCCTTTTGAGACCTGCTATGACGTAAGGGAGGAAGCTACAAACCTCTACACCAATGACATTCAGCAGCTTTATTCCATTGTTTCTCAAATAATGGAATTGCGCAAATCACCAGAATCTCAAATGGAGACTTATATAGAGACTTTTTTAGTTTACACACTGATCCATTTCCTTTTTCAAAACCAGGTGGAGAATCCATATAGGCCTCTTCAGGTAAGTCACCATTTAGGAATGCATTCTTCACATCTAACTATTGCAGAGGCCAATCTAGGTTGGCAGCAAATGATAAGAGAACTCGGATGGTATTGACTTTAGCAACTGGAGCAAAAGTCTCGTGATAATCTATCCCACGAGTCTGCGTGAACCCCTTTGCAACCAATCTTGCCTTGTATCTGTTGATGCTATTATTTTCATTGAATTTTATTGTAAACACCAATTTGCATTCTACTGCCTGTTTTCCCTTTGGTAGGGTCACTATCTCCCAAGTTCCATTTCTTTCTAAAGCATTCATTTCTTCAAGGACAGCATCCCTCCATTTTTGATCATTGAGAGCCTCATGTATATTTCTCGGTATTTTTGTACTATCCAACATAGTATTGAAAGCATGGAACCCTCGGGACAACTTTTCATATGAAATATGATTAGAAATAGGATGAGTAGTACAAGATCGAGTACTTTTTATGAGAGCAATGGGCAAGTGTAGATCATTTTTATCATGGCACTCAAGTGTTGGGGTGCTGGAACTAGAACTTAGTTCAGAATCCTAGCAGTGTAAAGGATCTAGGTTATTCACACTTTGAGACTTTCGCCTGCTATAAACATGTCCCCACTTTGAGGAGGCTCCTTATGGCGAGGATTCTGAAGCTCCCCTTGTTTTCAATAGTAGAGGTAATACTGTGGCATCAGTAGGTTCCCATGACTGATCTTCATCTGCTCCTATAGACTCCCCCTAAAGAAAAGTCAAGGGAAATAAAGGTTGAGTCTCAGAAAAGATGACATCCATAGAGATAAAGACCTTACGAAGAAAGGGTGAATAACACTTATAGCCACGTTGAGTAGGAGAATAACCAATAAAGACATACCGGAGAGACCTAGGATCAAGCTTAGACCGTTGATGAGAGGGAATATGGACAAATACACCGGAATAAAGACACACCAAATAATTTGAGAGAGGGGAAGAGATGCCTCGGAAAGAAGGGAAGGTGCAGTAAAGACTAGAAAGAGGAGACTAAAAGTTGAGAGAGAGAGGCATTTAATTGATCAGGTAAGAGGCAGTAAGAACGGCTTTCCCCCAAAGATATTTAGGAACACTCATAGTGAATATAAGAGCCCGAGCAACTTCAAGGAGATGTCAATTTTTTCTTTCAGCAACTTCGTTTTGTTGGCGTGTGTCAGGACACGAGCTTTGGTGAAGGATGCCATGTTGGGAAATATATTCTCCAAGAATATAGTTAAAATACTCTTTGACATTATCTGTACGAAGAATTTGTATAGGAACTTGGAATTGGGTTTGAACCATGGCATGAAACTTTTTAAAAATGGATGCAGCATCTGACTTGTCCTTTAGAAGGTATACCCAACAAACTCGGGAATGGTCATCAATGAAGGTAATGAACTATCAAGCACCTGAAATATTCTTTACACGGGCTAGACCCCATATGTCACTATGAATTAAAGAAAATGGGGAAGAGACATGATGAGCTTTAGAAGGATAATGAACATGAGTATGCTTGGCAAGTTGACAAATATCACAAGAAAAAAAACTAGGACTTTTATTAATAAATACATTTGGTAACAACTTCTGAAAATAGATAAAATTGGGATGGCCTAGCCTCCGGTGCCACAGCATAACATCATTACATGAATCAAAAGGAAACATAGAGTCTTTTTCCACAAAAACAGCTTCATGAGTCACACATCCTCCTCAAAGTAGTAAAGTTCATCATCCTCTCAAGCACTGCCAATCATCCGCTCCTGAAAAACACAACCATGTGGAAAGAATTTAGCAAAATAATGCAACTCAGAAGTCAGCTTGCTAATGGAAATGAGATTGCAAGCCAGAGAATAAACATGAAGAATTGATGTTAAATTAATCTACTTAGAAAGTTTAATGGTTTCGTGTCCTGCAATCTGGGAGAAGCTGCCATCGGCAATCTTGACCCGAGAGGGTTCAGACAGTATGGAGTGTAAGAACAAAACAAGGTCGGATTACCTGTCATATGGTATAAGGCTTCAAAATCAAGGATCCAATGATTTTGACTATCAATATGGAAAGTTGTACCTTGCTGGGCCACATTACTAGTGGCCTTAGGAGGTTGAGTCAAAAGTCTCTGAAGTTATTCAAACTGAATCTTGCTAAGAAATACACCATCAGAGTCAGAGGGTGCACGAGACTCATCAACCTTGTCATCATTAGAGACCTGATATGCACGACCTTTATTTTGTCCTTTTGGCTTCCAATTTGCAGGTTTCTCGTGGATATCCCAACATTTCTCACGGGTATGACCAATTTTATTGAAGTGGGTGCACCATGGACGACCATCCCATTTTGATTCTCCAGAGGGACGGTCAATTGTACGTTTGGCAGCCAATGCAGACATATCATCAGACTTATCAATTGACTCCTTTTCTCCAAACATAACTCACCGTCTACTAGCTTCTCTCCGAACTTCAGCAAAGGCATCAGCAAGTGAGGGTAATGGTCGCTGTCCCAATATTCGACCACGAACCTCATCAAAATCTCGGTTGAGGCAAGCAAGGAAATCATAAAGTCGTTGCTTCTCCAAGTGTTTTTTAAACTGGGTATTAGCTTCCAATCCTTTAAGGTCGGATGCATAATAAAGATCCAGTTCTTGCCATAAATTTGTTAGTGCAGTAAAATATTTAGTAATAGTCATACCCCTTTAACGAAAGTCTCTCAACTTATTTCTCAGTTCAAAGACTTGAGAGGTATTCTCCAGATCTGAATAATTTTGTTGAACAGCATCCCAAATCTCCTTGCCAATATCGAAGAACAAATAGGTTTGGCCAATCTGTGGTTACATGGAATTAGTCAGCCACGCTATTACCAAAGAATTATTAATCTCCCAATTTTCATAATCAAGAGCATCCTCAGCAGGTTTCTTAATTTTTTCCTCGAGATAACCCATCTTACCTTTTGCCCGGATGACCAACTTAACAGATTGAAACCATTGCAGAAAATTCTTACCGTTCAACTGGTGACTAGTGATCTGCATACCTAAGTTGTCTCCAGAGGACTGCAAATTTGAGGCAAATGAGGAAGAGGAAGAACGATCTGAGGAAGCCATGAATAGAGAGAAAAGGTTTGACCATGGACCAAAAAATCAAGTTGCTCTGATTTTAGATCTGACCACTGGAATAGGTAGAGAAGGAGCTGACGAGATGAACTGGCAGGTCGCGTCGAAAAAAAATTCCGGGAAGGTGGCGCGTGGGCTACACGCGCCGGAGAGTGACCGCACGTGTGGCGGCGCGTGGGACGTTTGACAGCGATGGGTCCGGTGGCGTTCAACTTGTCGGAGCCTTCTAAGTTCAATGGTTACTCCACCTTTTCGATTGGAGATCTGTAGGTATGATTTCTGGGATTTGGAAGAGGTTGGTTTGTGTTTGGATGATTCTTGGATGATTTTTGAACTGGTTTTAGCCTGGAGGGTGGCAGATCTAGGGTAGGAACGAACCTGCTCTTGATACCATATAAAGAATCACTTCAACTCTTGATACCATTGAAATAAAAAGAATTGTTTTTTCTATATTGATTCACAATGATTTACACTGATAGAGAGATTTATACAAGAGAAAATAAGAAAGAATTAATAAGGATGACTCAGCAATGAGTCATTAGTCCTATCCACTAATTAATAGAAAATAAAAAACGGAAATATTTTTAATTCTAATTTCCTACAAAATTAAATATCAGCCCAAGGTCAAATGGGCCTATGCATTGACCATGCCTTAAGCCTAAATGGCTCTCTTGCATGAGATAAAATGTTAGAGATGTAAAATCATTCCTAGGCCTCCATCTAATAATATCTTAAGCTAATAACACACATTATTCAATCTGAAACTGTTTCAAATGAGTAAAGCATGCAGGTTAACATAAGGCTGCATACACCAACATCAATAGTTGCAAAGTGTTACACCGTTCAAGTTCATACATATGGAGATTATCACCTTGAACGAACAAAATTAGCACTTTCATCTGCCAACTCATCAGTACCCATAGCAAACAGTGCTTTCTTCAAGATCTGCGGCCAGGTGGCAACAGCGTTTAGTTTGTAAAATTATGTCTTTAGCTAACACTATATATAACTTCATAAAAACATTAAAACTTCAACTCACAGCTTTTGGACGCAGAGTAGGATTCCAAAGGATGAAAAGTTTCCTAGCAGATGGACTTCCATCATTCTGAAATAGCTCCAGTGTTGATAGATTTGCTAGTTCCTGGAACATAGAAAATTCATGCTTTAATCTAAGTATAGCAGTAAAACAATTCTGGGAAGATTACGACACAGCCTTATAATCCGAACGTAGAAAAGACAACACAAAACATTCCTGTATTAAAAGATCAGGTACACATGTGACTAACAGCATGTTCAAAAAGATGTAATACTAAGTGTGTAAAATTGTGATTATTTCAAAGAAATATTTACCATAGAATGCTCACGAGGATTTGCAGAAGTTGCAGTAGAAAAAACAAAAGAAGGAACAGCTCCATATACTGCAGGTGGAAGCAATAGTGTATTCCAATTTCCATTTAAATTTAAATCGAAAAATTTATATGAAAACATTTCCTGAAGCTCCACAAACCATGTGAGCAGAGTCGCCTGAGCCTCCTTAATATAAGTGCAGTATGACATCCAAATCCTCCCTTGTAAGTATGAGTTTCATCGATTACCACAAACCTAATTAGTTAAGAAAGAGTAAACCTCTCTAAAATAACAATACGTTAAGTAATAAAAACTGTAGAAAATCTGAAGATTATTTCCATTCATTAAGACATTTTGTCAAATCCCTAATTGATGGAATTCAATCAATTAGGATCAGTTTCTATTTCCGTTTTTATTCAGGATTGATTAGTTTCCTTTTCTTATTTCATTTCTGATAGAACCAGAAAATTACAGCACTTATTTTATTAACACTAATACCAGAAAATATGCACCAGAAGACCTCAACTCACCCTCAAAGCCAACAACCTTGGGCTTCAAGAGATCCCTAAATTCCCCACTAAACCAATACTGAATTCATGCCCACCTCACTTCCCACATTCCTCTCCTTTTATCCTAACCTCTTAGAATATTCTAGAACTAACTAACTCTTTTTTCTCTCTCTCTATAACAACCCCTATACTATTATTACATCATACTTCAAGCCCTCCTCAAGGTGAAGAAAAAGGATAGGCAATGTGAGAGAACTTCCACCTAGGTCCCTTGTTTGAAGCACCTAAACCAAGTTACTCTTGTAGCCAAAAAACTAGAGGGTCACCCCAAATGGTTCCTGATGAAGTCCCCAGCCAACATGAGCTTTCCAAGATCAATGTTGGTTTTCATACCAATCCCATTCAGCATGTACACAATATCTTGAGGGACCCACTGTACTAATCCCCATTTGGAGGGACACAAAAATATTAGAAAAGGATAGCTCGTAAGTGTCATGGAAACGGACAAGAAGGTTCTCTACTGGAATAACAACCATTACAGCCAAAAGCCTATAGTTCCTGATGTTCCAACTCCAATTGTGTCACTAAGGAAGATTTCAAAGCAACCCACGTCATAAAGTTCTTTAGCAACATATGCCACCTTTGAGGGAAGAATGGGTCCTTTCACTAAGCATCCAACAACATATGTTACATACCTGAAAGAAAAATTGCGCCTACTTCGATCGTCCATCTCCTCTTGTGTTAGGCGGTGAAATCTTGACCCACAACGTCCTTTTTGCCCGCCATCCTCAGTTGTTGCTCCCTCTAGCGCCATTGCTCCTCTCTCTTCTTCCCTTTCGATTTCTCCTATTCCAACTAGCAAGACGTTGAGGTGAGGATTTTGGCATACCTGTTCAGGGAAGACAGGACCCTCACAATGGGCCCATAATTTTCGGTGCATCTGGTCATTCAACTCCTCCACCTTCAATCTATGATATTGCGAACTTCTAGGATTATCTCGACCTTCGTTTCCTACAGTGTTGGCACTCCCTGTTGTCCCTTTCATTCTTAGGTCATTAGAAAAGTTTAACCCTAATGGATAAGCTTTCCTCATAATCGACCCTGGATTATGACCTTCGATACCAGCTTGGGCCAGTCCCCTTTGACGAACTGAATTAGGCCCATTTATGATTTCATTAACTCTAGTATTGGGTTGCCCCTCCCAATTACCATCAGGTTTATTACACAAAGCAGATTGTGAATAACACTTAGATCCAATTCCCGACCCGTAACCCATTTCACTCTTGGTTGGTCCAACCCCACTTCGAACATTCTCCCACCATCCTCTGGTTGTGCTTCTGCATTACCTGCTTCAAGACATCGAGATGCAAACGCTCCTCCGTCTCTATAATTTCTAATCTGGAATCACACCAACGATAGAGAAATGAGACCCATATTTGTCTTCTTCTTGTTCTTCTTTTTCGTCTTCGGTCTCTTCTTCTCCTTCTTCGATTTCTTCTTCATCATCTTCTTTTGCTATGTTTCCATCTTCTTCTTCTTCGTTTTCGTCTCCTTCTCCTTCGTCTTCTACGCACCCTGTTGTTACCTTTCTTTCTTTTTTTCTTTTTCTTCGTCTATTTGTTTTCCTGACAGAATACCTCCTCCTCCTTCTCCAAACTCCATCTTATTCTTTGGCAGTTTTGATTTCTTCAGCTTCTTCATTTTTTTCTTCCATATTTTCTTTTTCTCTGTTTCTTCGATTCTTCGCGTTCCAGATCCTTCATCCCTTGGATCTAGTCGTTCCAGAAAATCCAAAATTGTTTCCTTTAGTTGACGAACATACTCTTCTATTTTCCCCATCTTTTCCTCCACTCGTCCTATTCGTCGCTCCACAACTTCCAATCTGTTCTCCGTTTTTTTTTTAAAGACCAGAAGCATCTCTGGAATCGAAGATGCTCTGATACCAAATTGATGGAACCAGAAAATTACAGCACTTATTTAATTAACAATGGAGGCATAGTCTCTTTTTACAAACAATGATACCAGAAAGAATACACCAAAAGACCTCAACTCACCCTCAAAGCCAACAACCCTAGGCTTCAAGAGATCCCCAAATTCCCCACTAAACCAATACTAAATTCATGTCTACCTCACCCCCCACATTCCTCTCCTTTTATCCGAACCTCTTAGAATATTCTAGAACTAACTCACTCTTTTTTTCTCTCTCTATAACAACCCCTATACTATTATTACATCATACTTCAGGCCCATCAATTTTCTTTTTTAATCACACATGGTGTATATTTTATATATGTATCCTTTCCTTATTGGAATATGATTCAATGAAACCTTTTCTTCTTAGAACTCTCACAAAAACCACTCCTCATTAAACCCCGACTAGTGCGGATAGGGGTGAGGAAAATCTTTGTATGCAGCCTTACCCTTGCATATTTGCAAAGAGATTGTTTCCCTGATTTGAACCCGTGTATTGTTACAAAGTAGTAACGTTACCACTGCTCTAAGCTCACCCAAAACAATATTAAGTAATATTCCATATTGTTAGAGAAATACAATATAAAATATAAAACCATTAATTTCCTTCCCCTAAAAACTTAAGTTTTTGAGTTGAAATTGTTCATTTTACATAGTATCAAAGTGCTTCTATTACTACGTGGTCTAAAGTTGGATTTTTACAGCCCCCATTCTATTAATAAATAATTTAATATTGTGGAGTTTCTTAGCACAAATAGGTGGATCAATTCATTGCCCACCTTTCGAACCCAATGAACTTTTGTATGAGGGGGCATGTTAAAGAAATAAAATATAAAATCATTAATGTCTCTCACTTAACAACTTAAGCTTTTGAATTGAAATGATTCATTTACACATACAAATGCAAAACCAATATGGTTGATAAATATTCCATATAAAAATACCTTAGATTTGATAAAATCCGACTAAATCGCCGATGGTGGGGCAAGATTGATATGTGTAACATATCTGGATTTGTGATCAACTGCAATATAATATAAAATGATGAACATTTCACGAGAATATGTCCAGTCAAAGGGAGAAATTAGTTATTCGATTACCAGCCTAGAATTATCACGCAGCCATGTCCTCTCACTTTGAGAAGTGTCACCATCGTATATACCAATATTGAAGTCAGCATCAAATCCTTTTGTCATGTATGACAAAGCTCTTAGTTGATCCTGAGCTAATGCCTGCATACATGAAATGTAGCTATCCAATTACAAAAACCCACACCACAGGGAAGGAAAAAAAAAACTAGAACTTAGGTTTTACTATTGAACAAACCTTTGTCGGAAATATGTACAAAGCACATGATGATGAATTCTTGCACAACACTTCTAGAACTGGCAGGTTATAACAAAGAGACTTGCCACTAGATGTCATTGTAGCCACGACAACATTCTTCCCATGAAGGGACGCTTGTATAGACTCAGCCTGTGTAAAACAAGTAGCAGAAAATCTTTGATTCTGAGAGTGAGAAACTAGTAGCTGTGAAGACACCAATTGCACATACTAAATTTATACCTGGTGACTGTACAATTTGGAAACTCCAATACACTTCAGTGCAGATCTCATTTTCTCAGACAGTTCAATTAGGATCTCACTGTGAATGGCTTTTCTGGCACATATGTCTTCAATATGCACAATCTGCATTAATCAAACCATTAATGTCCTTCATTTAACCAAACTTTAACGTAGCACCTAGCCAGTAAGACATGCCTTGATACACATTCATAAGTGAAAAATGACATCAAGTTTGACTATAAGCATTCTTGCCTGTGTCTATTTTTCAGTAAACTAATGGCTGCAGATCCAGCAAATCATGTTGAATTGAAGATTTCATGTTTTATAATTCTGAAAGCCAAAAATCCTTATTACAATAAAATAGGTTGGGGGGGAAAAAAACCTGTCCTTCGGATCCAATTCCTTTCTTAAGATGTTCAACCATGTCCACAGCCAGTAATGATTTTGTGTCCTGCCAATCCAAGAACAAGTGATATAAAGCAATCCTATACGTTCTACCCCCTGACAGTAGAATTTGAAAATTCTTGTGTTGCAGCAGGAAAGTATCGTGCAGGTTGAGCAGCACAAAGAGAAGAAGCAAAAAAAAACAAAGCTTATTAAACTTTCCCAAAATCCGTGTTAGTTTCCCAGCAATATATTGTGAAATGCAATAATTTCTCACAACCATCACTTTGTACATCAAATCAAATATCTGTCGAAAATTGGGCTAATATATGAAACACATATATGCACACAAGTTTAAATTTTGAAATCTTACCACAGCCATATTATTTTGGGTTGGATGGGGAATTGTCGTAATAGAAAACCCATTGACCAAGAAGAAAAAAGAGAAAAAAATTAAGTGCATTGATAGCATTGGTCGCGAATTAACAAAACAAATCGCAATCAAACCTTAGAATTAGCAAAGTTTGTTTAGACATATGAAAACCGCCATTTTATTTTCCTCTAATGCTTTCTATCTTTATGTTCTTGCATTTGATAAATTTTGATTAGATACAGAAGAATAACAGTTAAGAATAAATATATAACATGGATGATAACATACTTGACACCCAATGTGGTCCAAGTCAGGTTTTGAGGTAGTTGAGTTTCTCTTAACACGTTTTGATTTGTTTTCTTTTCCTACATAATCATGGTACTTGACTGCTGCAAGCAGTTCTTCCAAGGAAATTCCCACAGCCATCCCATCTCGAAATTCAAACTGCAAATAAGATCAATGAACATTATTCAACATCACAAATATTACAGACACATCGTTCCTGATGCAGAAGCAGTTTATTTAATGTTCTGCTTTTATGTTTTTGTTTTTTTCCAAGTCTGTTTTATTTTGCATATAAAGTGTTTTTCTATGTAGTTAGGGTTAGATGGAACCCAATTAAATCTTTGTGTTTCTGAATTAATCTTTAATGCAATTTTCCCTTTTATTTGTCTGTTCTTTATGCTTCTATGAGTCAATCTTCTGTAGACTGATCTATGGTTCATGTATGACAATAGAGATGTTTATATGAACTGGGGTTGGTAAATTCATCATTGATTTGTATAAATCTAGAGATAGACATATAAATCGTCGAATCCTTATACCATTTTTATGATTCTTGATTTTAATGCTTAAATACTTTTGATAAATATCAAGGAATTAGGATTCCCTTAAAGGAGTAAAGGATTAGAATACCAAGGGATTGAGTAACTAAATTAGATGAATTGATTGGCAAAATAAAAGGGCGATTAATTAAGGTTTTAATTCAGAACATAAAGGGGAGATTGGGGGAAATCAAATCCCTAACTATGCTTTTCTTAATTACTTGAATATTTGATTTTGCATTTTGTTCTTGTTTTTATATTAATTATTAATTAATTTTAAATCAAATCTCTCATTCAAACTGTCCAACTTAAGTAAAAATAGTGAACTAGTGCTTGAAAATCTAATCCTCATGGGAACGATACTCTTACTCATGCACTTTATTACTTGTACGACCAGCGCACTTGCCGAGTTCACAACAAGCTTTTGGCACTGTTGCCGGAGATTCTATTTCAACATTAGTAGTAGCTGTAGACATTTTACATTGGACCATTATTTTCTGTTATTTAATTTTGTTTTTGCTATTTTGCTTTAGTTTTTATTTAATTATTCTATTTTCTAGTTTATGCGAGGTACCGCTGACACCGAGTCTTGGCAATTTGATTCAGAGATGGAGAAAACCGCAAAAAGAAACAAAAAGCTTGCAAGGGAAAGAAGGCAACAAGAAGCCTCTAGTTCACAGTCAACAGTGGTAGCCACGATGGGAGAAAATAATCCTCCCCAAGAGGAGTTGATGGATGCATTTCTGACTCCAAACTTCACCAAGGCCACATCAAGCATCGTAAGACCAACAGTTGCTACAAATAATTTTGAGATCACGCCGGCACTACTTTCATTGGTCAAACAGAATCAATTTGGGGGAAGCGATGTAGAAGACCATCACCTTCATCTTGATAAATTCTTGTTGATTGGTGAAACTGTAAAGATGAATGGTGTGTCTAATGAAGCTATTCGTCTAAGGTTGTTCCAATTTTCATTGAAAGACAAGGCACTGAGTTGGTTGAATCAATAGCCTGCAGGCATTATCAGCTCTTGGCATTATCAGTATTTCTAGGAAGTAAAAATATGATGTGAATGAGAAAAATATGTAGATTATGAATTTGTGGGTTAAAATGGATGATTTAAGAAAGTTAAGTGACATGTGGGACCCACTTAAGTGACTTATGTGATTGAATAGGCAAAGTGTGAAACAAGAATCTGAAGTTTCTCTCTCCTCTTCTCTTCCCCACCGTCGTGCTCCTTGGCCATTGAAGAAGCTTTGGGCTTTTTGATTTTCATCTCCTTTTCTAGACACTTTTGAGAGAAACTTCCAACTACAAAGTTGTTCCCCTTAATCTTGTGAGTGACTTTCATGTAGAGTGCATCTTGTGAGGAGCATTGTGTGAGGATATAATCCCCATTTACAGCCACGAAAATTTGGCTATTTTGGGGGATTTTTGTGCTCTTTTGATTTGATCCATTGGTTGGAAATCATCCCCTTGGACCATAGGAAGCTATTGGTGGTAAGTTTTCCAACTCTTAATTGGTTTATGAAGAGATCACATTTTGGTTAAACTTAAGTGTATGTGTTGGTTGGTTGATGTAGTTGGAGGCTTTTCATGATGTTGCTTCTTTGGAATTTAATGCTTAGAATGATAAATAATGATGATTGAAGCATTAAAAATCTAAGGAGATGTGTTTAGTAACTTAGGCAATTTATGATGGGAATTGTCTTGAGAATCATAAATGTGATGGTTGGGAATTAATGGTTGGTCGTTGGGATATTAATGAGGATCATTAATGATGGTTAAATCATATAAAAATAGTTGAAAATCCCCTTATGTGATTGAGGAGGAACCCATCGACCTATAGGGAATTTTGGGGAAAATGATGTGAAAGTTATTGTGTAATCAATGGTTGATGCCTTGGTGCATTAATGGTGGAATGGTGAGTTAGTTTAATGACTAAAATGAGTGGAATAGTTGAAATAAATGTAAGATAGCCCTTAGGACTAAGTGGATAGGTTTGGGTATTATTGTTATGAAATTAAATTACTTGCTATGCAAGTTATTGATTGATCATATTGTATATGGTCTTGCAGATTTCCTCTCACGGATTCCATACTGGAAGATTGAGCTTGGAGCTTACGTTGGAGAGCTTTCTTGAGGAGCAAGGAAGCGGAGCTTGTGAAGGAGTTACTTGAGGTAATCCCTTGGTACTGGGGTTAGTCTCCGTGTGTGCTCCACCATGCCCCTTTGAGGTAGTGGTTGGAGGTGGATGTTAATGATGTATTATAACATGTTCATGCATATATGTATGTATAGTGGGTACATAGGATGTACCGTGCCTCTGGCCAGTAGACTGTTGCCTTCGGGCGTTACGGACTTTCAATGGATAGGTCTCCGTGAGGGAGTTCCAGTTGACCTGGGGTCATGGAGTTGTTATCCGTTGAGGAGCACTCTAGGAATGTCTCGGGTGTATATGGATGGAAAGGTGCCTTGGTTGATGTTCTGGCAACACTTCCTTGGATGAGAACCCGTAGGCTATATGCCGAGGCCAATAGGCCAGATGTTGCGTGGCTTTGGCATCGACCATTCCAGCTTCATCGTATTTTTACTCCCTATGCATCCCTACTTCACTAAATCTCTTGCTTTATCCCTTTTTGGTTGTTGTAATATGTTATTGATTTACATTTGAGTGAGCCATGGGGCGGAGTAATCTCCAGAACCTCTAGGTTACTGAGATATATTCGTATATCTCACCCTGCGTTTGGGGGCATCATTTCAGGTTCTAGTGAGCATGGAGGATCTTCGGGCAAAAGGCCTGCATATAGAAGAAGTTGATCAGGGTGTGCATATGGAGAGCATAGCAATTTGGAGAGTTATATTTGATGCACACAGCATTGTATCTAGTATTTTGGACTAGGTTATGAACATGCTGCATGTTGATATTGTTATGTTTTTGGTGTTCATGATTAGATTACAAGTCTTTTGTAATTGATGTATATTTCATGTCTCTTGTGTATATTGGTATTTTGGTGAGCATGAGATTTGTCCATGGCCACATATTATGTTTTGAGGCATTTGGAACTTATTGATGTAAATTGGCCATATGATGTTTAAATGGCAATGAAATGGTGAATCTTGTAATTGATACATTGTACAAGGTTTATGCATGATGGAAGGGTCTATGGCCTACATTAGTAATTTGTACAGGTTTTATATTTAGTATTAAAGTGTTAGGAGTGAGATACTTGGTTTCTTTTGAAGTCAAAAAGCTGTCAAAATATGATTACCCAGTAGGGTAATCAATTACCTTCAAGGCGATAATCAATTACCTAAAGCAGGGAACGCAGATTTCAGCCACTGTGAGGGCTGGTAATCGATTACCTTGAGGATGGTAATCGATTACCTTGAGGATGGTAATCGGTTACCTAGTTCATTAATCGATTACCTTGAGTATGATAATCGATTACCCAAAACAGGGGAGCCAAAATTGAGCTTCTGCCTCTACAGTAACCTGATGGTAATCGATTACCTCAAGGAGAGTAATCGATTACCTCACTGCAGATTTGAAAAAGATGTTGTTTTATAACCCAGAGTTGATGGTATTGCTCGGAGGGGTTATAAAGAATAAGTATTGTGCTTTCGCGAGTTTTGCAATTATAATTACGGTGTTGGTTATAATTGATTACGGAAATGGTTAATGGTTTACAACAAGGAAGTAACAAAGGAAAAAGTTTACCCGTAATTTAATTAACTCAATTACTGTGATTGTAACTGCGCTTAATAACATATGCAATGTTAACATTACCGATACGTAACGGATTGTTACATTATGCAATGATACTTGTTCCTCATTAAATCTGACTTCTAATCTCATAGCTACTTTTTTTTCCCATTTATTTACGTCCCTTTTAGCCAGGCCACATTACAGCCTTAATAAAAGACCCCATGATCTACTATATACCACTGAGACTGTGTAGAGTGAGAGTATAACCAAGCCTATGGAAGTGTTGTTTCAGTGAAACACATACCTTCAGACACTTGAGTGTGAGTGAATTGAAAATCCTAATTAAAGGGTGTTGTCTTGAGAATTCTTATTACAATTCTATGACTTGTGGATTGTGAATACTTGCTTGATTTAGTGCCTCGTTATCTTTTTACATTAAGCTTGAATGTTTCATTGATTTTGACATTGATTGATTAACTTGTTGAAAATTCATTGAGCACATGAACTCATCTCATTTCCCATAATTTTGTTTTAATTTTATTGCTGACGACAGCAATATTCTAAATCTGGAAATGATTTGATAAACTCATAGTTATTCATGTTTTAAAGAACTAAAATCACTATTATATCTAGTCAAAAGCATAAAATCTTTTATTTGGCTAAAAAGCATTAACTTTGAATTATTAACTCATGTGAATGATTTTTGCTTGTTTTGTAGGACAATTGAGTTGAATTTGAGCATTAGTGCAATGACTAAGCTAGAAAGACTTAAAGTAATAAATGAGGAGCAACCATTTAGTGAAAATCTCTTTGAAGTTGTCTTCCAACCAATTTTTCTTATCCAAGATGATGGATTTGGACCTTGTGTTCTCGTAAAAATTGTAGATCTTTCCTTTTATCTTTTCAATGAGACCAAGATCACATCAATCGGACGAGTATAGCTCAAGTTATATCCAAAATACGAAACAATGCTTTTGCTGTCACAGTAGCGCGTTTTAAAGCCCGGTTGCAACCCAATTAAGGCCCATTACGTAATTTTCATCTAAAACAAGGATTCTTACACCTATTTAAGCTATTATTCATGAATTCTTAACAAAACTTGACACCGGGAACATAGTTTTCATCGGAGACGAGTCGGAATCAAGATTACACTAGGATTCTTGAAGATTCACTGCGCTATCACACCAATGAAGTTTCGGGAAACTTTCTTGATTTCTTGTGTTCTTGTTTCCATTATGTTAGGCTAGTTTTCTTTGTAGTTAGGGTTAGATGAAACCCAATTGAATCTTTGTGTTTCTGAATTAATCTTTCATGCAATTTTCCCCTTTTATATTGAATGGATTTGCTTGTTCTTCATGCTTCTATAAGTCAATCTTTTTATAGACTGAACTAAGGTTCATGTATGACAATAAAGATAATGGTATATGAATTGGGGTTGGAAAATTCATCATTGATTTGTATGAATTTAGAGATAGACATGAATCGTGCAATCCTTATACCATTTTTATGATTCTTGATTTTAATGCTTAAATCCTTTAGAGAAACACCAAGAAATTAGGATTCTCTTAAAGGAGTAAAAGGTTAGAATACCAAGGGATTGGGTTTTAACTAAATTAGATGAATTGATTGGCAATATAAAATGGGCTTAATTAAGATTTTAATTCAGAACATAAAAGGGGGATTACGGGAAATCAAATCCTTAACTACGTTGTTGACTGTCGGACTTGTATGATTGGATAGATCGAGAGGAGGCGGTCCAAATTGGTCACCGGAAAATTTTACGATCGTCCAAGAAGACGACCATAGTTCAAATATGAGGCGAGTGCAGGCATATGGCTGGCCGGATGACTGTGGGTCCACAGGGATCTACTGGACTTGAGGAGACACTCTTGATATGGTGGTCACCGGTAGGAAAGTTGTCCATAAATTTTTCCGGTGGCCTGAAAAGTTGTTGGAAATTTTTTTTTTTGGTGGCCAATAAAGTCGCTAACGATGGTTGGAAGATGCATGATTGCTTCCAGAATGACGACACAACAGTGGGCAATAACAAATGAGTCAGAGAGACAACATGGCAAAGATGGTGACAAAAGATTGCCTGAGATGCAGTGGAAGAAGCTAATTCAGTGAAGGTTGATGAAAAAAGTAGTTAACATTTTGAATTTTAAGGAACTCAGCAATGGAAAAGTGACGGGACAGATGAAGAAAAGCAGAGAACACTGATACCATGATAAAAATTATAGGGGTTTAGGCATAGATGAAGAAAAAAGGAGAACACTGAATAATATGTCAATAATATTGTATTTTGAAGTGATAGAGGTGATTACAAAAGAAAAAACACTAATTCCTATTTATATACTAAATAGAAAACCTTAAAATAAAGAAACAAATCATAAAATATAAGGAAGTAGGAAACTAATTCTAAGAAATCATCTGAGATACTCTAAAATATTCTAGACACAATCAAGATATTATAAGATATTCTAACGAATCCTAATGCCCAATTAAATCCTTTGCTAGTGAAAATTTTGAATTTAGAATGATACAAATAAAGAAAATACTGAGCTATCTTTTCTTTTTGGGATTTAATTGTGTCCAAATTGAACAAAACAAAGAAAGAATCTCATTCTTTTTCCATACTGCATGTGAAAGATGATCAATTTCTTGCCAATTGTTATTGCTAACCAAAAGTTGAGAACAATATTCAGATAGAAGTTTCAAAAAAAAAAAAATTCCTCACATAATTGTAATGATATAGTTGTTAGTTAAGAACTCATCACCCTATAAATTGCATGAAACAATAATCCAGCACTATTAAATGAAATATCAGTCAAAGTTCAGGCATATGGATGTATCAGCTATAATGCAAATCCTATCATACTTACTTGTACACTCAATGTTCAGTTCAGGTGTAAATGCGCATCTATTACAATAAGGATAAATGCAAACTTGCACTTCACATATATGGGTCCACAATGGATCAATCCTGCTGGTTAATGTTAAAAAAGAACATACCGGCAGCTGCTCAATAGCCGACCACAGATTATTTCGGAAAGAACTATCCCTTCTCTTCAATGTACTGACAATCTTTGAAACAAACAACCACCTGCGAGCTATTAAACAAGACATTTCAAACAAAACAGAAAAAAAAAAAAAAAAAAATTGTTCTCATGGAAAAGAAGAACATCAGTAAACTTCAAAACCACAAAACAACAGTACACATCTTCAATATACCTCTTTTAGGATTATCTTCAATTTGATCTTTACTGCTAGTTGAATGGTTAACGACAATAATGACATCACCAAAACTTGTCTTCTCTGAGTCATCTCCAAAACATACTAGCTGCAAAGTATTCAAATCACAAATTTGAGCAAGACACTGGAAATGCTTCACGGTTGCAGACTTGGTAACAACAAAAAAGAAGGCAATCAATAGGGAATAATTATTTCAAGGAACAATCTTTATTCTTACAGCCTGTAAAGAACCAATTCAACCCAAAAGCTTAAGCTGTTGGGTGAGGTTACATTAATGATTTTATATATCTCAACACACCCCCTCACATGAGAGCCCACTGGACTTGAAGAGTAGACGATGCACAGGCCCACCTACCTGTGCGAAGAAAGAAATTCCACTAGAAAGAAAGTGGGGAGCGGTGAGGATCGAACCCGGTACACCGAGGCTCTGATACCATGTAAAGAATCAATTTAACCCAAAAGCTTAAGCTGTTGGATGAAGCTACATTAATGATTTTATATATCTCAACACACACAGCCTCTTCTTTAGTATATAAAATGCATACCAAACATCACAACATGAATCATAAGGTGAACCTTTTGAATGAAAGAAATAACAAAATCAATAAATTTACATGAGGACAAAGAAGTGAAAGATTCTTCATGTCCTGGAGGCCAAGTTTGACTCCAAACTTTGCAAGCTGATTAAGTGCATCTTCCAGAACACATGAGGTCATTTTCCTACGGTGCAAATGAAGAAACGCGGAAAAAATGTTTATGAAAGCAAATGCCTTTATTACTATCTTCAACCATGGTGGACACAAGCATGTGTTACCATCATTGGCACAACCTCCCTTCAAACGTGCTCTTTCGAACAACTTGCAGTGTCCAAGAGGAAGATCCGATAAACAATTCACAGACTCCAAAACCTTCAAAAACACCTCACAATTATGCTCGCCAAGAGCAACCTCACTAGAACACTGCAGTGTATTCAATATGAGATGATATGGAAGCTCTATTTGCTTCTCAGGACCAAAACCCCCTTTAGTTTCGTTCTCCACCACTTTCTCTTTTTCAAAATTAGATGCATTATCACCACTTTCAGTGGTCTCGCGCAAATGTGACAAATCCTCCATTATACTGAACCATGTAGAATCCGCGAGATTAGAGATTGAAGCACTGTGAGCAACATTTGACGAAGCCTGAACCGGGTCCGGTTTATCGGTCCGAGTTGATTCCTTCTTAGCAAAGGGAACCAAAACAAGAAACTCGCCGCGTTGGATGGAATAAGAACCAATCTGAGCCTGCAATCTCAATTTCTCACCCTGAAACCAGCAACGCAATATTATTATTATTATTATTATCATATTGATAGTGAAATGCCATTGCTTCTACAAAAGGCATAAAGAATAGGTAACAGCATGAGAGAGTGAATTAAAAGACTTTTGAAGTTGTAGAAAGAAGAATAAAAATGATAATGAGTACAGAAGTTTCATAAAAGAGTAATGGAACAAAAAATAAAGGGAGAGAGATTGTGCCTTGAAAAAAAGGTGGAAATTGGGGGAGTTGGTAGCGGGTGGGAACGATTGGTTGAGGAGAAGTTTGAGGTCTTGGACGGTTATTGTAGAAGGGATGTGAAGAGTGATGGATTCACCGGTTAGGGCTCGGATTTCGATTTCCTTCTGGCTGCTCTCTGCCATTGTCCTTTCAATTTCATGGGAATTTCATTCTGTACTCATTCACTTGCTGTGCTTCTTTTCCATCGGAAACTTTTAGTGTGGTCGGTAGACTACGACTACGAAAGCTATTGCCGTGAAATTTATGTTATACCCTGGTTCTGTTCTTTTTTTTTTTTTTAAGGCATAAAAAATAATGTTCAATTTATTTATTATTTATATATTGTAAGAGAATTGGCCTCAAAATTCATGAGCTAGATGAATTAAGTTTTATAAAGTATTTTTTAAAAATAACTCTTTAGTATTTTTTAAAAAAAATATCTTTAATATTTGATTTAAGACACCAACCCTATCTGAATATACAAATGTGTGATCAAAGATATGAGCTAGTGAGTAAGTAAATTGTCATGACTCGAATCTGAGCGATGATCGGCGTACAGGCTTAGGTAACTCAAACACTCTTGGTTTGGCAAGCCTATCTTCCACAAAGAATGCATAAAACAAAAGAAAACTCCAACAAATTTATATTCTAAAATTTTACTAAAATTTTGAGAGAATCTCCTTTGTATTTCTAACATCTCAAAACAAACCTAACACCTGATATACAATACTAGCCAACAACAAAATATATAATCCAGGCATTAGAAACTTAAAGCAATCTAAAAGTTTTCACTAACAAACTTCTCATACTTGCAAAATGCTCAGATATCCAAAATAGACAAAAGACTACATGTCTAAGGGTGAATCATCCAAATAAAGCTACAAGATGAGATGCGACTTCTAGCAATTTACTATTTAGCTACTTAACGATCTAGACGGAAAAGTAAAGGGGATGTGAGTCACATAAACTTAGTGAGGGCATAATAATCACAATGAACGAGAAGGGGAAACAAAATATGCACGAGGGATTTTCTCTTTTTATGCGCATAAGTTATAAACATGCTTGGACAATGGAAATAAATAATATGAATAAAATCAATAAAGTATGTGTTTAAAAAAATCAAAAAATCATAAATTAATATAATTGACATTTACAAAACAAGAAAATAAAATAAAAAAAAAAAAAGATAAAATAAAAATTATAACTTAATAAGATACGGATCACTCATGAGAGAATCAAGTACAAGGCGGCTTTGCCTCGTTGATAGTCCTCTCCTCCTAAGGGTGGCTTTTCCTTAGTGGCGACTCCATCAAATGGGCAGCCCTCTTCTTTCTTAATTTAGGTCAAATCTTAATATCTCATCGGGGGCGGCTCCATCTGAAGGATAGCCATCTCCTCTCGTAATAAAGTATCCATATATAAAACTAGGTACACCTAGACCGTTACCCTCACTAACGGCTATGGGATTCTAACATATCCCAAAAATATATATAAAATAATTTAACAAATCAACTTTTAGTTCGAATCAATCCAACTCCAACAATAAGTAAAACTATCAAATCTTATACTTTTAAAAAAATATCTCTTATTAAATTTTCTCTCTGACATTTCAAAATAAATATCAGTATTATAAATCATAAATATGATGTTATTATGTAAAAATATTTACAACATGTAAATTTTGAATATGAGAATTTAACCAATCACGAAATAAAATATTTGTTTCCCCATGCACATATTAAACAATAATTATATAACTAAATTTGAAAAAAAATAATTATAAAATATGTTATGATAATCATTATTCACTCATAGCTTTGAAGAAACAATTAATGCACTTCCAATGACTACGGTCAAACAAATGAGATAGATTTTAGTCAAATTTGAGCACCAACAAATATTTTAACAATGCCTTATAAATTACTCAAGGATAACTTAACAAATGGGTAATAAGGATGTTAGAAATAAGCCCTAGGTTTATGCTCAAAGTTCAAAACACATCTATGCAAAACAAACTTATGCAAAAACTTACATTTTCTCGTGTTTGAATTATGGGTTTACCTCAAAGAGCTCAAAAAGTCAATTTCTAAGGAATGGGTTGCACCTTTTTTCTCCATGAAGCACCTTCCTCAACTCAAAAATTCAATTCAAAATCTACTTCTAAGATTAAGGAACGCGCACGGTTTTAAAGTTCTAATAGAGCATCAAAATGATATTTAATGGAAGAAAAGAAAAAAAATGAGAGAAAGAAGAAGATGATGAAGAAGGAGTAAAGAGGAATGGGGACAATAGGAACAATGGGGTTAGGGTTATTAGTTTTATAAAACTTAAAGTTACTATTTTGCCCTTTCTTTCTTTTATCTCTTTTTTTTAAGAAAAAAACTATGGTTGTTTCATTCTTCCCCCTTAAAAAAATTGCATCCTAGAATATAGTCTATTACTAACCTTATATATCAAAATTGTAAAGAAAGATGGATAAATGATAATGTAAGAACTCGCGCTGCTAAATAATTAATTAAATAACATTTGGTGTCGGAACATGGATTTAATAAAGATTATATATAATTATAGTAAGACAAATATTTAGAAAGTTGAATAATGCTTAAGTCACTTTTATGATGAAAAATGCAAATACTGATTTTGCTTCGTGGTATAAATGCGTACCGGTGAAGTGTTCCAAAAAATTATAATAAAAATATGATAATTCTTAGAAAAATGTGTAGGTTAAGAATATGAAGTTTGGAAGAAAAATAATTAGTAAAGCGATTAGAACTAATACCGACGATTTGAGCGAGCACAGCTATATATAGGAAATGCACATAAACATAGGTCAGATTTTACAAGTTTCTACGTAAGTGTTCTCTTTGGTTTCATGGCTGCCACCTTCTTCCACACATCTCCATAGCCTTCCTTGCATGAAAATCACCTAAGACACCACTTTTCCACTTGATTCTTCCTTCTTGTAAAACACTTGAGAGAAAATTTGGTGAGGGAGAAAAACCACTTCTTGAGAGGGTGGGGTTCTGTTTGTGGGTGTTGAGAGGCTGACCTCTTAGATTGATGGGATGGAAGTCATTTCCCTTGCTTTTGGTGCTTAAAGAAACCATCTTGTAGAGAAAATGACCTACTTGTGAACCAAATTTGTGGCTATAACACCTCGTATTTCTAAAACATATAATTATATATTAAAATATGGATTAAAGGGTATGATTAGTGAAAATCCTGAAATTAGAACCAAAATACATAAAAAAAGGTTAAATGGTAATTTGTCAAACACGTAGCCCTAGGAAAAGAAATTTGAGTAGAAGGTTTCGAATAGGAAAAATAACCCTGGAAATAGATTCAGAACGAAAAATTGAGTGGTTTGGTAAGTTTCTGGAAAAATGATGAATAGTGTTTTTATCGGGTAAAAATATCGCGGTATAGTTGCATCGTAAAGCGTGACGAATGAATTTTGAGCTCTAAGTTTGGAAATAAGTTATAAATGGTAGATAGGACTAGGAATTATGATTTCTTATGGAAATTGAATGAAATTAGGGTTTTTGAGGAAGCGTGTCCACAGTGAGCATAACAGCTTAAAACTGTGATTTCACCTAACGACCGAAAAACTCTGGATTCATCTAACCAAGGACAATTAAAAGACAATGGTTAATGTTAAAAATTGGAGTTTCTAAATAGTCCAGAAATTAATGGACGTTTAGTGGTTTAAGCGAGAGTTTTAAATTAATTTAATCGCGTGAGATGGCGGTGGGATCCACCCCACTTAAGTGACTTAAGCCACATGTGCTTGAAACTATTCATGCTTCACTTTCCTCCTTCGTTCTTCTCCAAACACCAACAAATCGAAGGAATTATCACTGATTTAAATCTTTTGCAAGAGTGATAGTTTATCTAACTAACATCAATGTTGGCTAGGCTGTATTAGTTCTATGATTATTCAGAACCATTTCACTTTTTTCAGGATATCATAATTTATGGTGATTTTGTTAATGTTGCAGGCAAACCAAAGCCTTGGACGGTTTTGACAATGACATTGGAATCTTGAACAGCCGCGTGAATGGTGCTAATCAACGTACTCGTCGTTTACTTGGAAAATATGGGTGCAGATCATGAGATTGATTCCAACTTATGTTATTTCCTTCATTCCCTGCTCCCCTACTTTTCATTATTCAATTGAAGGAGCTTCAAACTTTCTACGAAACTCGTTTCAAATATTGTAATGTACAATCTGCTTGTGAAAAAATTGTTTTTGGAATATAGTATTGATTTTAGATTATTTTTTATTCAATTATCAATATCATAATTCATGCGCTACTGTTTTCAGCATTATTAACAGTATAGTGATAGATTGAAATAACGTGAGTTTGCTTTTTTACGAACAACAACAAACTTAATACAACAACTAACCCTCGAATTGTTTTTAGAAAAATACAGTATTTAACCTTCAAATTATTGTTAGAAAAGACTTAGTACACGAAGTAAGTGTTTTTCTTAGTCTTTATCTATCTCTTAACTATTAAATACCCTTTAGGCCTTTATCTAATCCATTCCTTATAACCGTTGGGCTTGTATTATTCTTCATCTCCTTCAAACACCATCAAATCTCCATCAAAACACAACTTTCACTACATCAAACTTTAAGTAAATGGCATTCTAAACACAACCATGTTAGTCTCAAGGCTTGAAACTCACTAAATTGGGAGAAATCAAGTACCCATGCCAGCGGCCATTGTGTGAAAAATTGATGTCTTGGAGTTGATTGATCCTTCAATGCTTGGGTATTGTGTGGAGGAGTCCAATGCCTTGATTGTGGGTAAGTTTCAACACATTTCATTGGTTGATTCATTGGATTTGATTTTGAAGACCTAGGGCTTACATGCATGAATTGATATGGTTAGGGACTTTAAATCGAAAATGTGTATTAGAAAAAGCGTCTTAGAATAATGTTTTATGATGATTGAGCTCATAAAAATTATTGGTAAAAATGTTGATAACTTAGGCAAATTTTGAGTTGGTATGCAAGACTTTGTGAAATGGATATGTTGTGGGATTGTGTAATTGAGTTGTAGAGTAATTGTATGATTTAATTATAGGATTGTATGATGTGTGGAAGTGTTGAAATGAATAAAAAAACCCTAGATGTACAAGCATGAACAATTCGGCCATGTGAGGAGAAATAAGGATGGATGATGTAAAAATTATGTAGTTGGCGT